CACTTAACGCTCCTGTGAAATAGTCCTGCTAATTTGCTGCGATGCGCACACGTATATAGTTTTAATATTCCTGTGCGCGTGCCTCGAGCTGTTGGCACACGAGCGAGGAAAAAAAATTAGTACGGAGCCACAAAAATCAAGATGGATTTTCGACGTTCGAATTCCCGTTACATTTGGGGGTTCTTTATTACATGCATCTTGCTGACATCATCATGCTCGCATCATCGATTGCCCTCGAATTTTCGTTTCATAATTGATGAGCTGACCTTTTAATACGAGCATATGCTCGACACGTACTTTAAAATATTTTTTTTAAATATATTCTCTCATCTATGCGTCGCACTGAAAAATATATGCGTCAAGTCATAATAAAGCGACTTATATGACAAATTATTCGAATATTACATGTAAAATGCGACAAAGGTGAACATGTAATGTATACAAAACCGAGAGAGAAGTGCTATTAGCATATTATAGTTGAGAGTATATTTGAACTTGTGTTAATTAAGTCGTCACTCATACACACGTGTGCGAATATTTTATAAAGATATGAAATAATTTAAGGTATAATATGAAACTTAATCTACCGTCTTGATGCACATAATATGAGTCACGTGTGGAAAGAGATGATCGATACGTCAAAGTTAGTCACTGGCCGAGTCGCATTGAGAGGCACATCGGTCACTTTAGCGAAGCAACGGTTTCACTCGTGCAGTCACATCCTTTTTCTGCAAATTTAACGATTGTACGCACGTATTCGATTTTATTTACTCAGCGCATAATTTATATACGTCTTATCTAAAGCGAATAATCACCAAATTAACTCGAAGTGATAATTAATTCAAGTGCTTGACGCGCAAGAACGTAATGCCGATCGGCCGAGCAGTGGTGGTATTTTAATTTACGGCGATGATTAAAGTGAAACGATCCTGCACAAAAATTTCACGGTTTCGACGTGTGTTTTTGTATGTGCCTGCGATCGTACGCCGTGTATACATGGTGCGTATGTAACGAGTAAATAAATTACATTGATGATTTAAGAAAATCGATTTAACGAAACGAATCGTAGGTTCAACTGTAATGCTCGCGCTTGATCTCTAAGCTTTAACGATAAATGAACGCGTGCGAGTTATTTTATACATGCCGTTTATGGCTGAATAATACATAAATCGAATTTTATTTTGTCGACCTCAATTGCTTTGCAGAATTTTCCTCAAATGAAAATCGAAAGCGATAAATTGATTTCATCTGAACTATTGATTTATAAAACTGATATGAATTTTTTAACTCAAAATCAACATCATTATGTAGAAATTATATTTGTTTCAATCAAGAACAACAATTGGAACGAAATATTTGTATGAAATTTCTAATGCAGCACCGGTCGTAATTAATCAATCAGCAAGGATCGCTACAGACTTTGTTATGCAAAAAGTTTATTTAGATTTTGTAATTTACGCGTACGTACCTCGGGCGTGCAAGCCAACATTAGAACAAATCGAATTACCAGTCGAGCATTTCTTTGCTACACAATAGTTGCAAACGAACCTCGATTTGCTGCCGGTGTCGCTTACACAAAGCATCGCTGTCGGCGGTCGCAATAAGTCAATGAATATATAGCCGCGCGCACGCGAAAGCGTATCTGCGAGCTTGATTCGTCTCGGAGTAGCGCGATTCGAGGCTCGGGAGAGAGAGCGCGAGGGCGGCAGCTATTCTTTTGTGTATATGCCTTTTCCTGCTCGCCCAGAGAAATCGTTAAAACACGTCGACGATGACTATGCTTGCTTCACAGGATTTTTTTGTCATCTACATGGTTGCCCGCACCCGCACGGGCAGCAGTCGTCACCGTCTGATTTCGCATCCGTTGCAACGTCCGACCAAAAAACCACGGAGCGTGAAAGCATTGCAAAAGTCATCTAATGGTCACAAAAAATATTTATACACAAAATAAAGAGCATAACCGAGTATCACATCCCGTAATCTTGCGCGTGTAGAAGCCGCAGTGAGAATTCATAGACCAGAGAGCCTCGAATCGAGGCTATCCTCCAAGCTGTTCACGACTGCGACAACTAAAATGAAATCTTAATTGCACGAAGCCGTCGAAAGAAATAACACTCGCTCACGCGCGCGCTCCTGCTCTCGAGCTAATGTATTTGCAGTAGATATAGCGGAGCGCGGTAGTCTACGAGTGGCAAACTTATGGACTTGACCTTCTCGACCTCCTCCTTTTTTTATCTTTTTCGCTCTCTTTTATCGCACACGAAGAGAGGTATGCCTAGCGGCTCGTCATTTGCGGCAGTAGTGCTCGTTTTTTTTCTCCTTCCTTTGCTCTCGTATAAACTACTTGTGCCTTGCGAGTTTGTCCCCGTGCAGTCGTATTCGCGGTTTATGGCAGCAACTAAAACCGTCTTTGGAGAGATAGGACACTACTGCGTATACGCGACGAGGCGCAAGGGAAAATATTCAATTTCCAAAGTTTCTCGGGTGCACCGAGACGATTGTCGTCGACGTTGTCTGCACCGTCTGCGCTGCCTTCGTTGCTATGTACCTTACACGCGCGGCGATGACCCTTGAAATCGACCATTTCGTTCTTTCACTCGCAGCTGTAAACGAGAGTTTGCGAGCCTTCGGCAATGAGTTTCGTGGGCTTTGAAACACCCGCCCACGCAAGCCGTACACTAAATTAATCTGGACAAATATAAGCCGGTGCCGGTACACGACGAGATTAGTCTACTGTCTCGGCGCATCGAGATCGCTTGTACTGTTGCGCAACGCGGCGTATAAACTTCGAATCTCATTGTCTTGTCAATTAACTTTTACGGTGGGGAATCTTGCATATCCATGAATGCGATGTGCATTTTTATTTGCAGCTTTTATTATACGCAAAACTTTCGAGTTTTTTCTTCAATTAATTTCAAGGAATTGCTAAATTGGATCGTTGAGATTAGGAAATTTTATACACTGTCATGGAAATGAATGGTTTACCTCCCCTCACGATGAACATAAACGTGAGATTGGCGAAATAAATTTCGATCGTTTCTCATTTATATTTCTAAACCTAACATACGACTAGGACTTTATGAATTGGGTAGGGTCTGTGAACAGCGAACTTGGCTCTACGCGATTTATCATTCTATAATGTGTAATTAAGTATGATGTTGAAACCTTTAATTAATAACTGGGTAGTTGTGGAATATAATCTAGACAAAAATATATCGGGAAAAAAACTATATTTATATCCTTTGAACAGAGCATTGGCTAAGACCCTGATTTAATGTTTCAAACGAAAAAGCATGCAAAACTGATAAGATTATCTTTATCAATTCGTCGCGTTCCAACAAGTGCCATAACGATTCAAATTAATTAAACGATATCGAGACTGCAGTTATATACGTTTTATACGTTTGAGAGCGCGGCTAAAAAGAACTGTTGCTTTTTGCTGATTCAAGGACGAGTCTTTTGAAGGACTCGATGTTTTCTGATGGTCGTTCGCTCGCTCGCTCGCTCGGAGCCCTTTCTACAGAAGTGAAACAAAATATTACTGTCAGTGTAAATCGGCGTAATTCGCGAAACATGATAAGAACTATTTGAGCTTCGGTAAAGAAATATGGGTAAGCATACGAAAGGACACGCAAGCCAAGGAGTATAAACAAGAAGAAGTAGTCAGGAGAGAAGGAGAATGAGAGATAGGGGCGAGTAAGGTGACGAGGACAGTAGATATATACCGCCAGCAGCAAAAGTAGCGGGATGGAGGATGAAGCGTGTGTATATACATTTATATACATGTGCATGTGTGTGTACGGGTGTACGGCCAAGCTGGACGAGCTGCTGCAGCCACTGATGTTGGCGAGAGCCCCGCGCGCAAGATTGTATCCGTGTCTTATTTTTATTGGATTGCCGCCGCTCACAGAGCAGCATCTTGGCAGAAAGTAAGAATAAGGCAACGACAACGACGACGCAGAAGAAGAAGAAGAAGAAGAAGAAGAAGAAGAAGAAAAGGAAAAGAGAAAAGGAGGAAGAAGGAGAAGAAGTCTATATGATCGCGGGGCCCTATAGCCGCGATTCGGTGCGTTCTCTCTCTCGCGCACGCTCGTTCGCTCCACGGTATTTATCTCCATCTCACTCTACACTTCTTCTCGGGCTCGTTCTCGCGGCTAAAATGTATAATGTGGTGTGCGCTGCCTCTACCATTTCTGCTGCAGCTGTAGAAAAGAAAAGAGGGCCCAGGAAGACGCTATATAGTAACGAGCATGAGGAGCAAAGGAGGAGGAAGAGTCGAGCGCGGTGGAGGCGATGGCGGTGGGAGAGCTACACAGCATCGAGTTAAGTACGTCTCCCGAGTAAAGGAGATAGGTGTATGTGTATAGTTTGCGAAGCATCGAGTCAGCGAAAACGAAGCGAAAACGAGAGAAAGAGATAGAACGATAAGGCCCCTATGGTATGGCAGGTTAGCGAGCGAGCGAAAGACCGAGGGACCCGGTGGGGGGAGAGAGAACTGAAACGACGGGACCCAAGCCTTGCAGCGAACGAGTTGCGCGCGCCAGTTGCTGCGAAACTTACAACGGCGCTACACGCACGGCCCCTCGGTCTTTCGCACAATACCGAAGTGAGATTTCGCGCATTTTTTTCAGCTCGACCTTACTCGCTCGTTGGCTCTTGTGATCGCGTTCCGTCGCTTTAAAAGCACCAATTTTCGTAAGTAGCAATGGCAGTGATACATCGTGACGGGCTGACAAATGCCTGAAGCGAGCGAGAGAAAGGGCCTTATAGTCCGCCGATGGTCAAATTGAATCGAGAAAATGAAATCACTGGCCTATTCCATGTGCGGCGGCTAACGCTGCGATAACAGCTAGTTCATTCGGTAGTGCTAAATGTTAGTGTTATCAGTGTTGTATATGTGCAAGAGCAATAAAACGTATAGTGCCGTACATATGTGTCGTTTGAGTGTAAATTCAAGTAGTGTAGTTGCAGCAGCAGCAAGAGAACGCGCATGAGGCGCGATGCGGGCCAGTGTGTTGAACTTGGCCCTTCCGGTGGCGGCCGCGTTCTTACTCGGAACGCTGCTGCTGCTCAACAGTGCGTCGGCTCGCAGTGTGCGCTACAAAGCGCCCGACGAGTGCCAGTGGTTGACCGAAGACGATGGCGAGATATCGCTTCACTGCCGTTTAAAGACCATCAATAGCGAGCTCGAAAAGACCAATTTCAGTGCCATCCCTCAGCGCACGGCGCGCCTCAAACTCGAGTGCAGCGATGCTCTCTTTTATCAGAGCTCCCTCAGCTCTGGAAGCTTCAGGGCGCTCGTTGACCTAAAGGAGCTACGCATCGAATACTGCAAAATCGGCAATCTGACCGACGATGCCTTTAGAGGCCTCAAGGAGTTGAAGAATTTGACCGTTAGGACTCACAATTCCGACTGGTCGGTTATGGCCTTGGAAATTTCTCCGAGGGCCTTCACCGAAGAACTCAGCCAGTTAGAAAACCTCGATTTGAGTGATAACAACGTGTGGAATATACCCGAAGGCTCCCTGTGTCCACTCTTCAATCTTGAATCCTTGAACCTAACTAGAAATCGACTGCGTGAAGTCACAAGTTTCAAATTTAACTTAGGCAATAGGTGCGCTGCTAATCTGCGCGTCCTCGACTTAGCCAATAATAGTATCGAATCGTTGCCTTCGGCGGCTTTTTCTGGCCTGTCGCGACTTCAAGTGCTCAATTTACGAGCCAACGATATTGCATTCATCGCCGATAGAGGATTCGAAGGTCTCAGCGCAATGACGAGACTCGATCTGGCGGACAATCGGTTGACCGGTCTACCACCCGAACTATTCGTCGATTGCAGAGAGCTCAAAGAAATTTACCTGCGCAACAACAGCCTCGCGGTACTTCCGCCGGGGCTGTTTGGAGAATTGGCTCATCTGCTGGTTTTAGATATGTCGGAAAATGAACTGACCGCCGAGTGGATCAACTCCGCCACGTTTGCCGGTTTGGTTCGATTGGTTGTTCTGGACTTGTCTGGCAATCAAATAAATCGTCTCGAGTCGGCCATCTTTCGAGATCTCTATAGTTTACAAATTTTAAAGCTTCAAGATAATCTCATAGAAAATCTGCCCGAAAATACGTTTTCGAGCTTGTCGAACCTCGATGCCCTTTTGCTAAGCGGCAATAGACTAGCGACGATCGACGCCAACACATTCAATGGGCTCTACGTCCTGAGCCTGCTGTCCCTTGAAAATAATCGTTTGACCGATTTGCATGCAACGTCTTTGAGAAATGCCTCCTCGTTGAAAGATCTTCACTTGAACCGAAACCGATTAACTTCGATACCAGAGGCGCTAAAGGCCACTCCTTTATTGCGCGCTCTTGACCTTGGGGAAAATCTCATCTCTGGCATACCCAAGGATACGTTCGACCACATGGCACATCTAAGTGGTTTAAGGCTTATCGATAATCACATCGGCAACATAACCAAGGGCATTTTCGACAAGGTAAAGGACCTCAACATCCTGAACCTATCGGGCAATCGCATAGAGTATATCGAGGCAGGTACCTTCGATGAGAATCACAAGCTGCAAGCAATTCGCTTAGACAACAATTTGCTGACAGACATAACCGGTCTATTCAACAACTTGCCAAATCTCGTTTGGCTCAATGTCAGCGATAACAAGCTCAAGAGCTTCGATTACGCCATGATACCGAACTACCTTCAGTGGCTCGACATCCACTCGAACGAGATAACCGAGCTGGGGAATTATCACGAGATCGAGTCGGAGCTGCAACTTACCACCTTCGACGCCAGCTGGAACAAACTGAGCGAGATAAGCGGCAGCTCGATACCGAGCAGCATCGAGACCCTCCTGCTCAACGACAACCTTATAACTCGCGTGCAGAGCTACACGTTCTTCAAGAAGCCCAATCTGACTCGCGTGAATCTCAAGGGCAACAAGATCCGTCGATTGGAGCCGTACGCTCTGCGCATCACGACGGTGCCGGCGGACAGGCCGCTGCCCGAGTTCCACATAGGCGACAATGACTTTCTGTGCGACTGCACAATGGAGTGGCTGCAGCGAGTCAATCGGCAGACGCAGAGCCGCGTGCAGCCGCGGGTCGTCGACCTCGACAGTATCTTCTGCGAGCTGCTCTACGATCGCGAGCGACTGTACGTGTCGCTCATCGAGGCCTCGCACTCGCAGTTCCTTTGTAAATACGACGCCCACTGCTTCGCCCTGTGCCACTGCTGCGACTTCGACGCCTGCGACTGCGAGATGACCTGTCCGCTCAACTGCACGTGCTACCACGACCAGACCTGGACGGCCAACGTGGTCGACTGCGCCGCTGGCGGCCACGCCGGCAGATTGCCCGAGCAGATACCGATGGACGCGACGCGCCTCTACCTCGACGGCAACGATTTGCGCGTCGTGTCTAGTCATGCTTTCATCGGCCGCAAGAAGCTCAAGCAGCTCTTCTTGAACGCGTCCAACATCGAGCTCGTGCAGAATCGCACCTTCAACGGCTTGAAGAACCTCGAGGAGCTGCACCTGCAGGACAACGGCCTGCGGGAGCTTCACGGTCACGAGTTCGTAGGCTTGGAGAATCTGCGCACCCTCAGGCTGGAGCGCAACGAGCTGTCGTTCATAGCCAACGAGACGTTCTTGGCGCTCGGCTCGCTCATGAACCTGCGCTTGGACAACAACAAGCTCACCAGAATAGTCGTGTGGTCGCTGCCGACGAGGAGCGGTACTGCTCTCGAGCTGACGCTGTCCGGCAATCCGTGGACCTGCGACTGCGACTTTGTTCACGAGCTGCGCGACTGGGCCGTTACGTCGCCCGTACGTATCCTCGACGACCAACAAATTCAATGCACCGTCGTGAGTAGCAGCAGCAGCAACAACGACAAAAACAACTACACCAGTAGTAGCTACGCGGACATTAGCGATGCTAACGAGTTCGCCAATGGCAGCGAGGAGGAGAACAGCTACGCGCTCATGAGCCCGGGGCTTCGCTACGCTAATAACTCGATTTGCGCCGAGCTGGACGTGAGCCTCAGCGGTATTGACTCAGGCAGCGGTGGCAGCGGCGGTGGCGGCGGCGGCACCAGCACGACCGGCAATCTTACCAAGACCATTATCGAACGCCAGGCTCTCGAAGATTATCTGCCGCTGCTCGTTAGCACGCTCGTGGCTTTCCTCCTGCTCATGCTGGTCTGCATGCTCGGCTTCTTCTTCCGTCAAGAGGTGCGCGTCTGGTGCTACTCGCGCTTCGGCGTGAGACTCTTCGACCGGCACGCCGCCCTCGACCGGGACGATCGCAACAAGCTCTTCGACGCCTTCATCAGCTACAGCTCCAAGGACGAGGCCTTCGTCGCCGAGGAGCTCGCCCCCGTCCTGGAGATGGGCAACCCCTCCTACAAGCTCTGTCTACACTACCGCGACTTTCCGGCTGGCAGTTTCACGGCCGACACCATTGTCCAAGCCGTCGAGTCTTCCAGGCGCACCGTCATGATTCTCTCGGAGAACTTCATCAAGTCCGAGTGGTGCAGGTTCGACTTTAAATCGGCTCATCATCAAGTGCTGCGCGATCGAAGACGACGCCTCATAGTCGTGCTAGTGGGTGACGTGCCGCAACGCGATCTCGATCCGGACATTAGGCTTTATTTGAAGACAAATACCTATCTGCAGTGGGGTGACAAGTTGTTCTGGGACAAGTTGAGATTTGCTCTACCCGACGTGCCAAACAATCGACGAATGCCTTCGATTAGGATGCCCCACGCGACCGCCCCACCGTTGCAGCGACAACACAACCAGATGAACGTTTTACCGCGAGCTTTGGCTGTTCATATTTGATGATAGTGCGCGAGTCATTTGTCGTATTTTATAAGGAAATTCGTCGTTCGCCAGTGTGTGTAAATGTGCAATAAAAATTTACGAGTGTGATGAAGCCTGTGAGTTATTCATAAACTCGACTAGTTGTATAGTAAAACAAAGTGATTAAGTAGAAAAATATTGTGAGTGCATGTGTCGTGAGGCTGAATATATGAGGAGAAAACAAAAACTTGATACACTTTTATGAAAAATGACTGAAAAAAGTAATTATAGTATAGTATAATAATGTGTAAAACATTGTATAAAGAAATTACTCTATGTGTCTACGTTACACGCTAAAGTCTGTAAATAAAAACGTTATTTTTTAACATTTGACTCGAAATCGTTTTATATAAAAAAAAAATAATAATAATAATAAAGCCCATAATATATTCCAATATTATTGTTAATATCACTTTTTGTTTTAAAGTCACGTATAAAATTTCACTTCTACGGCAGTAAAGTACGATAGGTCGCACACAAGATTCATCAAGTGCACGAGTACAAATTATATCCAAGTCTGCCGACGCTTGCGGTCAAAAAAAAGTAACAATAATAAAAATAACAGAAAAACAACATACACTCTCGCTTACACATACACACACACGTATACACGTACATACTTTGACAGTGCATAGCGGAGTGGGTCTGGCAGGATGTGGTGTTTCGCAGTAAATGATTGTTATTATTACAACAACGATGAAGCTATGAGATTTCGCACAAAAAACGGAGGAAAAAAAAGAAAGAAAACAACTTGTGACGTGAGAGAGAAACAGTGCAGTCTATTTGAAAGAGAATCAAAAGTCATTCAGTGAATCTAGACGAATCAAGAGGGCAACGAACGACTTGAGCTTTGCACCTCAAGGTGCTATATAAACTTTGCGCGTAACGGCGGATCCAAGTCTCGTCGAATCGCATTGGTTTTCGTTTCTAATTTTCGTTAAATAATTCACTAGCGATTCAAATTTTATCGAAACGACAATCTTTTTGTTTTATCACAGCTCTTGATTAAAAATTTTCCGAAAAATTTACTATCTATGATTTTTTTGAAAACTTCACTATCTATAATTGTTTAGCTATTTCGTACAAGCATGTAAAACCAGTCAACATGCACAAGCAAGAAAGCCGTGCGGCTAAATAATTCACGTGTTGTTATACCAGTGAAAAATGTACAATCTCAATCGTGATACCGACTCCAGCACGGATCATTCGATATTCGATATTCTCCGCGGTAAAACTGCATATCCGTAAACCTCAAGCGCGAGAGTAAGAGTAGAGAGAGAGAGTGAGATATAAGTTATGTTTTGCCACCACTTTCTAATGAATTTCGTATGAAGGCAGAGGCCATTTGAAATGCAGCAGGACCTACTGCAACGTGCTCGCGCGCTCGATCCTACTTGTTACCTGTATATGAAAGAAAATTTTTCTTTTTGACGAAGATTCTCGAACGGAATGCGAAACAAGTGTAAGCCGGAACGTGTGTATGCATTTGTGGGGGTATCGCATTACTTACCGTACGAACGTGTATATGAATCTCTGCGTATAAGAAACAAGCGAGCTATATAATGATACATCTGCAAATATCTTTTGTAACAGGTATAAGTGTATACTAAACATGTCAGTGCCAGCGAAAATATTGTACCTTCAGAAGCAGACTGAAGCAACGAAGAGCTTGGGTTGAGTCTTGTTTGTGAATTTCGTAAAAAAAAAGTGCATGCGTACTATACTCGTGGAAGGAGGCGTTCAACGAGTCTAGACGCGAACAGTCAATGTAAAAGAGAACCGCGCGCACTGCACAGATTTGTAAAGGCTTGCCTCGCTCTTCTCTCTCTTTTTCTCTCTTTCCCTCTCGCGCGCGCCTACGTATATATAATGCAAAGTATTTTTTCATGTTACATGTCAACGCGATGAAAGACCACATGTCGTCGGTACGTTCTCAAATTCAAAAGTTGTAATTCAGTACAAAAATAAAGAGAAATAAGGTAAAAAGAATCGGTAAGCGAGATGGTTAGAGTTATTTATATAAATATATATTATGCATATACGCGGCAATATGCGCTGTGAAAAAAAGTCGTGCGAAAATAAAATTATATCTAGACGCACACACTTGCTCGTGTGTGTATTTATGCGAAAGCGATTCGAACGAGAGGGACAGAGAGAAAGAAGAGGGAGCGCCGAAGAAAAAGTAAAAATTTCTATTGTGACGTTCAAGTACTCGCGGTTTCATAATTACTTTACTTTTTCTCGGCAGTCGCCGTTGGCAAGGCAGCCTTTTAACCGAGCTCTCCTCTCATTCTTTCGCCGTCGCAGATTTATTTTTCTCATTTCGCCGGCTCTCGGTTTCGCCTTGGCATATTGCGAATCTTGTCTCTTCTCGCGGCTCGCACGCGTTAACCGCACACGTGAGCTATAATGTACAAGTGGAATAGAGTCGAGGTTCGAAAACGAGACGCATCCGCACACGGCACGAGATGTCAGAATTGCCAGTCAGAAGAATTGGATCGATACCAAAGACTGTAAAAGTGGCGAAAAAGTTTGCGAACACGCAAATGAAATGGAAACGAGTTAAGTCTCTATGCAGATGCTAGCCAGGCTATATAGCCGTGGGCAGTACATTTCTTTGGGCGAGGATCTTCTTCGTTCATGAATCTCGAGGCGGTGCACGAGCGGCGCGCTCGGCCGACCACAGAACGACGCGCTCGCAGCACAGAGTGAGAGCAGCTCGAGTAGGAAGTTTTATGTACATAGAGTGCGGTGGTGCGGTATCCAAAAACGGCTCCTTCCTTTCCGTATCTTTCGCCCTCCCGTTGTGTTGCATCGTGGAGCACTTGGCTCGTTGGTCGAGCGGCAAGGCAAAAAATATCTCGCGCTGGAAAAAGTCCACGAAAGAATTTTCTTATCCAGCAAAAGCTAGCTAGCAGCGCGAGCGAGTCGAGCGCGACGGAGAATACAGTAGTTGTGCAGCGCTAGTACCTTTCGCGCTAATATAGAAACATCCTGCTCGTTATAACAAGAAAGTTATTTTTGATATGAAAACTCCGTAGCTGAGCATATAGATATACGTTCCGCAACACTTTGTACTCGGGGGAGGCTCGAGCTCTAACCTGCCGCTATACTCCTTTATCGGAGATTTCGATATTTTTTTGTTGTTTAATTTTCCTCTTTTTCGTTGGCCGCCGCCGACGCCAGTGCCACCAGTGCTGATTCTTTGTTGGCCCTTTTTACCTTTGGCCACCGCAACCTCCGGCTGCCGCCACCGCCACCGCCACTGCTACGTGAGCTTTTTTCTCTTGCTCTATATCCTCTCCTCTGACTTGCTACTCTTCCCACTCTGCCGCTCATCCTTTTGCTCGCTATATAAGCGAGCGAGCGAGCTCGAACGCGCGCGCTTTGTGTCCCTTTTTTGCCTTCTGCATCGAGCGTCAGCAGCCGCGATTCCTCCTGTACATTATATATATATACCTGCTATAAGCCTCACCGTGTAAGCGCGTACACTTCTTATATGAGAAATAACTCGAATAACTCGCGGCGAGCCTGCGCACACACAGCCTAGCAAGTATAAGTGAGCGTCGTCGTCGTCGTCGTCGTCGTCGTCGTCGTTGTTGGGCACGAGCACCGAGAAATTGAATAATTTAATGAAGATTATGGAAATGTATTTCGTCATCCTCGATGCGTGTAGCTCTGCTACACAAAAAAGTGGCCAACTTTGGCGGTTGCTCCTGTGGTTGCTTCGTGCACCGAGCCCAACTGCAAATACACGTACAAGTTCTATGTATTTACAGATATGCCCGCATGCGATGCCGCGCTTAAACGTGCGCATAAAATACGCCGATGAAATGAAATGCCGATACTGCGAGATTCATTCGGAAACGACAATCGTGATTCGATCTCGCTTCACGATCGGGACGCTGATTAAATTTTCAGTGCCAAATTCGTGCGCTCTTGACTCGATGCGGCGGGATGCATCGAAATTTTACCTACTAACTTATACACGAACTGGGCAATTTAGGAACGGATAAGAAAAATATCAACTTCGGAGCAGCGCGTGTGCGAGCCTATAATGACTTTCCTTTGCGATGCAGGAAATACGGGTGCACATGTAACTTCAAGGATAGGCGCGCTCGTCAAAGTAAATATGTGGCGACGCACGATCTGCAAAACTTTTCTTCGACAAAGTACGAGTTAATATGCCGTGCGTATTATTTTAATAACGAAAAAGAGAATCAAGATTCGCAAAATCAACAATCCAGCTGGAGATAATTGGATCAATAAATTATAGCGAAGGCATATAGGATACGCATTACTGCAAAGGAGTCAAAAGATGGAAAGGATCAACCGACAATATGCCGTCTCCTCTGCTTGCCTTCGCTCTCGTCGTTATAAATATATTTTCATGTGGCGAGTATATATACTTATGTCTTATACAGCACGCGTAGCTCGTGCAGGCGCGTTATCGGCAAAAAGTGGATAATGAGAATTCTTAATTAAAGAGATCCATGTACGCGCGTTTGGAAAAGGAGCGAGAGAAGGCGAGATATCCATCGAAAGGGTCTTTTCGTGTATATTATATGGCCACTCGGCACGCACTGCACGTGTTGCATATAATATACACGCAGCCGCGCAGCAGACGCTGCACTGTGGCGCGTCCTTGCTCGGCTCGATCCTGCCGAGTCGAGCCTCTTGTGTGTGTGTGTGTGTGTGTGTATAATAACGTACACGCTTGAAACGCCCCGCGACAATCGCACTGTGTAAACAAGTTCTATTTTAGATGTATATACAACAATATTACGCTGGCGTCCGAGAATCGCCAATATGAGATCTATATAGTCGGTACGTTGCTGCTGTGTACATGCAGCAAAGACGTGCTCTGCACCTGATCGCCATCGCAGCGAGCCCAGACGGACGAGTAGCCTAATCGCCTCGGCTAAGTACGTGCCCGGAAGATTAACACATTATAATAGCCGCGTGTGGCGCGCAACGCTCTGTGAATTTATTACGTGCTGATGATACACACACACACGAAGCAAACGAAACACACGTACAC